CATTGAGCTGAAGAACACAGGCATATATTTATATTCCTTATATTCTTCAGTGCCACTTCTAGTTTACAAAAATCTCACTTTTACTTAGCAATATCCTTTTGAAGCAATGATAATTATGAATTTTATCATCTTGACTTTGAATATATATCTTTGATGATAACCTGTAGGAACACTTCCATGGAGCTCGTAGTACAACTGAGTGATAGAGCATGCACAAAAGCTTTGATCCCCAGATCCATCACCAAAACCAAACCAAACCAAACCAAAAAACAAAACATACAACCCAAAACAAAACTTTGTTATTAATATAATTAAGTTTTCAAGCAAAAATAAAGTTTATAAAAGTCATATTAGTATGATGAGCTTGAAAATTTTTAAATACTTAAAGATTATTCTGGTGAGTTTGGTATAATATTAACAAATGTGCTTTCTTTTGATAATGTAGCATAAAATATGTCAATATTTAGGAGATTTTCATAATTTAGTAAGCCAATATTTCCAAATAACCAGTGTAGCATATTACAAAATTATGCATGGTTTAAGAGATTTATTCAAAGGGCAACATGGACCCAATACATTTCTTCTTTTTAGTAGTTTTTTAAGGTATAATTGAGACAGAACAGGTTGCATACATTTCAACATATGGACACAATAATAAAGCTACAACAATCAAGATAATGAACATCTTTACAATTTTTTCTTCCTGCCCTTTTCTGTTGTCTTTCTGCCATCAACCAGGCTGCCATTAACCTCCTTTTTTTCACTATTTTTTGCATGTTTTGAAATACATTTTTATTTTATTTTTTTGTCTTTTTTTGAGACAGGGTTTCACTATGCAGTTAGGCTACAATTCACTTTGTAGCCCAAGCTGGCCTCTAACTCACAGCGAACCTCCTGCCTCAGTCTCCCAAGTCCTGGGATTGCTTTGGAATTTTGTAGAAATTGGTCATATAGATTTTTTTTTTGGTACTGGGGATTGAACTCATGCCTATGTGCTTGCCAGACATGGCGCGTACACCACTGAGCTAAATCCCCAGCCCTCATTTTTGTTTTCTGATCTGCTTTCTTTCATTGAACAGAACTGAGTTTGGCCCATTTGCATGTACCAATAGTTTGCTTCTTTTTATTCTGAGTGATATTCCATTTTATGACTTACCATTGTTTATCCATTAACCTGTTGGTGGACACTTGTGTTCTCTTTGGGTATAAATACTTGTGTATTGATCTTCGTAGGGATGTAAATTTTCTTTCTTTTTTTAATGGTTAAGCACCTACAAGTGGAATGGCTGGATCACATGTAAACATATACTTACCTTTTCTGGGAACTGAAGTATTTTTCAAAGCAGTTGTGGCATTTTATATTTTCTTTAGTAGTGTACAAGTTTCAGTTACGAGTACTTAGTGTTCTCATCAATATTTGCCATGATTAATCTTTTATTTTACCATTAAGTAGTACTATTTTATTGTAGTTTTAAATTATATTACCCTAATCACTAATGACGGTATGTTTTTTCATGTGTTTGGTATTTATTTATATGGTTTCTTTGGTAAATTGTCTAATAAACTTTTTGCTCACTTGTTTAATGGGTTATTTTCTTAAAAATAGCTTAAAATATGAATGCAAATTTTTATCTGATAAGTGATTTGGAAATACCTTGTTCAATTGTTGGTTTGTCTTCTCTTTTTGTTTTGTTTGCAAGTTTGTTTTTTGATACAGTCCTGTTATGTATGCTAGGATGGCCCTGAACTCACTCTGCAGCTCTGGTAGGTTTCATATTCACAGTTGATCCTCCTGCCTCAGCCTCTCAAATGCTGGGATTACAGGTGCACATCACCATGCCCAGCTCTCTCAAAAGTGTGTCTGGAATGGAAATACTTAATTTTAGTTAAGTTCCATTTATATGTTTCCTTTAAACTGGATGATGCTTTTGTACCTTATGTAAGGAATCTTTGCCAAGTTCACAAACATTTTTATGCTGTTCTAAGTGACATTTTAAGTTTAAGTTTCTGATTTTTCATTGCCAGCATAATGCTAATGCAATTGCTTTTTGTATACTGATGAGCCTGTAGCCTTACTTATCTATTAGGGTTCATGGCTTTTTTTACAGACCCTTAAAACAGATTTTCATAGGATTTTCAATATGTCAACTTTTAGGATATAATGTTGCTTATTTTTCTTGCCTTATTGCACAGAACAGGCCTCCCAGAAGTGGTCAAAACAGAAATCTTTGCCTTATTTGAGGTCTCATCCAGTTACAATGTTCTGTTCTTCACCACTGAGTTTAATCTTTTATAGACACTCTTTTATTAAGGAAGTTTCCTTGTAATTTGGGGACATATTGGATTTTGTCCAAAGCTTTTGCAGCTTTTATTCAGATGATTATTTAGCTTTTCTTTACTTCTTCCTTTTTTAGTATTAGTATCACATTGAATCACATTAGTTAGTTTTTCCAATACTAATTCAAACTTGCATTCCTGAGATAAATCCCTGTTTGGTCATGATGGATTATCTTTTTTATATACTGTGGAATTTTTGCATCTAAGGTTATGAGGTATACTGGTCTTAAGTTTTCTTGCTATAGCTAGGGTATTAATATTAGGGTACTGTGTCACAGAAAGAACTGCAGTTATTTCCATTTAATTTTCTTTCTTTTTCCTTTCAATTTTCTGAGGAAGTTTTTTTTTCTTTTTCTAATGGTTTTTATGAAAACTAAGATTATGCTTTCATTTAAATATATAAATGTTAATACTATACAACAGAAAACTAGAGTGGCTCTATTACAACCAGATAAAGTACACTTCAGGGTAAAGACTATTACCAGGGAAGAGAAAGATCATTTATAAAGTGAATGACTTCATAATAATTTTTATAAAGGGTAAATTCATCTATATAACAGAACAATATAAATATTTATACAACTTAGTCACTTTTCTTGTTGCTGAGACAAAATATCTGACACCCAAAGTTAAAGAAAGAAAGATTTATTTTGGCTCACAGTTGGTAGAGGTTTCAGTTCATAATTGGCTGTCTCCAAGGCATAGAGGAAGATAAGCAGCAGCAGCAACAATAGCAATAAGTTACAGTAGCAGTTTTTTCTGCCCCTTTATATTCCCCTAAGGGCAGGAAGCACTCACACCCAGAACTATGCTAAACTAATTAGTAGACAAATTTAGTAATTACACACCAAGTTAATTTAACATGACACATCCAGCCACCTCTGAAAAAGCCCCACCTACGACCTCACGAGGCTCTAGACACAAACAGCAAGTAATAAAAGAGCTTCCAATTACACATTTAGTGAAAATTGATAGAACTATGAAAAAAACCCACAATTATAGTCAAATTTCAACACTCCCATCTGAATAATTAGCAGAATAAACAGAAAATCAGGAAAGATATGGAGGATTCAGGCAATAATATCAACCAACTTGGCTTGATTGACATTTGTAGAACCCTCCACTCAGTAACTGCAGAATTCACATTAGTTTCAAATGCACATGAACATTTACTAAGACAAACTTTGCGCTGGTCCGCTGAACCAACATCAATAAACAAAATGATTCAAATTATACAAAATACGTTCTCTGATCATAATGGCATTAAATTATAAGTAATTGAAAGATATTCAAAAATTATTCAATAATTTCAGACAATATAATACACTTACAAAGAACCCATGAATCAAGGAAGAACCCAAAACAGGAATTAGAAAATAGTTTATGAAGGAAAATAAAAACACAGCATATCAAAATACATGGGACACAGCTATAGCAATGTATGGAGGGGCACTTGTTTACGCCAAATGTTTATGCTACAAAAGAGACTTCCATCAACAATCTGATTCTGAATTAAGAAACTAGAAAACTGGAACTTGAAAACTAAAAGAAGAAACAAAATCACTGACTTAGAAAACAGAAAAATTAAGTAAATTTACTAAAGATAAAGTGGGCTTTGAAATTTGAGACTCCTGAGGCTTGATAAGCCTCTTGCTAGGGAAAAACACAAATCATTAATATTAGGAATGAGAAAGATAGATTTTCATAGGACAAGAAAAATAATGGCATGCTGTTCATAGATTTACATTAATATGCTAAACAACTTAGGTATTTTACACACGAAGACACCACAAGTATTTACTGAGTTAGGTGCTCCTAGTTAGGACGATCGGAAGGATGCTGAGCGGGGGCTAAAAACACACGGAAGGCACGCTCATCTCCAAGAAGCTGTAATTCAAGAGAAAAAAAAAAACTGCTAAAACTTAGTACTGATCTACAGGGGATGGGCGGGCAGTTGGTTGAAGAAGTTTCTCGAGGAGGTACCACCTCACTAATTTTGCAAAGACCCTTACTTAAGGCCAGCGAAGTCTGGTTGCTGCGGCGACCCCGCCCCGCCCCGCCCCGCCCCGCCCCGCCCCCGGGCCAGGGCCGTTGTGCGCCTGCGCACTCCAGCAGCGGGCGCTCCGTAGGGGTCCAGGCGGCCGCCGGAAGCGTGATCTTCCCCTGCTGTCGGGCATTTCCATCCGGGGCACGTCTATCTTCCGGATTTTTCTGCGCCTCCTTCTCGGCGACTTTTTGGGTTCCTCTTTTTAATACTTCTTGAGAACTTGTACGCCCTAGTCGGCCCTGTCTTTCTCCGCTGGGGCGCTTGGCCGTAGGTCGCCAGCCGGAACTGGAGCAGGGCCTGGTCCTCCTGAGCCGCACTGCCTCCGCGCCTCGGTTGGGCCGCGGGGCTACGCCGCCTCCCCGACTGCCGGCCAGGTGAGTTGGGCCCGGAAGGGCGCGGCTGTGCGGGGCCGTATTGGTGGGTGTGGTGTTGCTGAAATGCATGTTTTGTTTTGCTTAGGCGGTTCTGGCTAGCTCCGGGAGGTAGGCCCCGGGCCGCCGCGTCGTTACTTGGACTTTCAGGGCCTCTTTCAAGTGTTTTTCTGCCTCTCGTCCTGGACCGAAGCGAGAAGATTGGCTCGGAACTTCTGCACGGTGTTTCATAGGGCGGCGGAGGTAAAGGTCCAGATTGATTTTAAAAGGCATTCTTCTTAAAGATTTTTAAGTGGCAGGAATTGCCGTAGTTCTTCACTGGACCACAGGTTGGGACCTAGTTCTACCCAATCAGCCTTTGTAGGTGGAGTCTTGAGCTCTTTCTCGGTAAGGACGCAAGGATCTTATGTGTCTCACAGTTTCTGGGTTACTTATGTTTTCTGTCTTGTTTCATCTATTTCAGTTGTTTAAAATAATTACATATAATGGTGTAAATAGGGTGAAAAGAAAGAGAAAAAGGAAACAAAACTTAAGCTAAGTTGCCATCTTGTTAACAGGTATACAGTATGTGATTTTGTGAAGGAAAACTAGGTCTGTGTGTTTCTATGGCAGGCAGCATACAAGTATCAATGGTTTTGTATGATTCACGAGGTTTTAAGTATGATTAACAGTCCAAAGGCTCTGGCTTAAGTGTTGGATAGTACCCAGTAACAGTAATAGGACTTTGTTCATGTGGACAGCTTCATATTATGTCTGCTCTAGACATGCCCTGTGACATCTAGACTTCATGTGAAACAGGCCATTTGTCAGTCATTTAAGAAATATTTGTTTGACACCTGGTGACTAGACCCTTTTTAAACACTTGGTTGGAATTTGATTTTTAAAAAAGAAAGTCTTGGAGATGGTTTTGACAGTGAGACAGCAGGATTTAGGAATTGAACTTTTTGTGTTGTGGAGGAAAAAGTGTTTTTAGGAGATCAAAACATTTTGGACAAAGTAGACAGATAACTTGCTTTAGCCGGTACAGTTGTATATGTTGTATTAGATTTTGCTTTCCAAGGAATCCTGATGAAGGAATTTTGTAACACTGAATGTTTGGTAATTAGTTGGAGAGTTCAAATTGAGGACAAATACCAGAGTGTAAGTTTTAAGATAAAGTACTATATTACTAGGAAATATTTTGTAAACTTACTATCTTGTCTCAGAAATGACTGTTTACAAATGAACCTGTATAATTTCCTGGTGAGTCAAACTTACTGAGGAAACAATATTTTAAGAAGCAATTTTCAGGGGTCTCTCTTTACAGGAAGAACCAGACAGTGGTTTTAAAAAGAGTTCAAATTTTACCTAGATTATCTTATAGTTAGAAGTACAGATAAAACTTAATTTTTTAAAGAAAAATAGGATACTATCAGTCTCTGCAGTTTCTCTATCATGAAGCTTGTCATATCTACCATTATTTCACATAATGTGGGATAATATTTTGTATAGGTCATCTATACTTAGTGAAGAACATTTTCATAAGAATATAAAGAAACCTAGTGTGGTAGCATACATCTGTAATCCCAGCACTCTGGGAGGCTGAGGCAGGAGGATTGCAAGTTCAAGCCCAGCATGACTCCATGAGACCCTGTCTCAAAAAAAAAAGGGGGGGGGCTGTTGATGTCCAGCCCATGATGTCCATGTGAAGGCCTTGGATTCAATCCCCAGTGCTGACAAAAAGAAAAATGAAAACAACATAAAAGATTTAAACTGATCATAGCCAAACTATTTTCTTTCAGAAATATCCCTCACATTGTTAATCTTGCTTTGGTTTTATTTTTATCAAAATTATTGTTGAAATGTGCTAGAAAAAGGAACGGGAATTCATGAGGTTTTGGTTTACTTCCTGATCTCTGGCTGATCATGCAGCATACTTGTGTTGGAGAGCGTTAGGTACTGTTGATTGAATTTCCTAGGAATGATTCTCTTTTAAAGGCTGACTTGGTTAAGAGTTTGATGTGAGAACCAAGATTTTTGTTGAGGAGACCCCGACAGGTGTTTTATTTTGTAGGGATTCCAAAATCAGTGGTTCTCTGGGAATTTTGGATAGATTGAGCTAGGTGTCTGCCCCAGATTAAGCATTTTTGAGCTGTTAGCCCCGGGAGAATTTGGTTATTAACTTTGTATTATAGTTCTTGTCAGAGATGCAACTTTGACTCATGTTTGGATTTGCTCATGTGATGGGATAGAAATAAGGTGTGGTCTGGGTTACAATCTCATTTTGTATCTTCAAATCTGAATCAACATGTACATATGTATTATGTGTGTATCTATCTTATTTGGGTCTAGAGCAGAGGTGGCAAACTTATGGGACACGAGCCTCAGCAGGCTGTGTGTTGTTGAAAGCTATAAACTGTTCCCCATCACTGGTCTAGAGAAAAACATAGTATTTATAGGTATTAATAAAAGCAGTCTAGCATTGTGGTAGCCACTGTTGGTTTCCTGTTGGCTTGTTTTGAAAACCTGTGTTGCTTGCATTGTTTTGTTCTGATCTGCTTTGTTCTGTTGTGTTTTGTTTTTTTTCTCTTTAAAAAAAAAGCAGTCTAAGTTTTAAGCTGTAAACTGATTTCAATAAAATCGAAAGTGGAACATTTTAATTCTAGTTTTTCTGAATAATGCTTTCTTTTGATTAGATCTAAAGTATTTTTATTCTAAGATGAGATTTCAAGTAGTGATCATTACCATGAATCATGTTTAGTGTCATTTTCTCCTAAATGCTGTGGAATAGGAATTATATTTTATGGGAAGTTAGGTTAGGGAAGCAGAGTAAATAATCCATTTTTACTCCTGGTCAAAGGATAGAATAAGACATTAGTTGTTAGTGTTAACTGCAATCCATGATTACTGAATGTACTTTTGATAAAGGACTCCCAAGAATCCTTTACTTCAAAAGATGTGTCTATTTCCTCTTATCAGTGAACTTCAGGGGAGTACAGTCTCAGCACATGCTTATTTTCTTTTTCTTTCTTCTCTTTTAAATCTCCTGTAAAAAGAAATAAGAACTGGCTGAAAGAAATTGACAAACTCTTTGTTTTCTAGATATAATTTTTTTTTTTGACCCGCATTTGGCAGTAAGATCTAGGTGTGCTGCTACATGTTGTAAACCCAGCTATATATAATCTGTGGGAGACTGAGGTAGGATTACAAATTTGAGCCTGATCTGGGCAAGTTAGTTATTTTGACTGGGTGGGCATACACTGAACGTGAAGGCTTTAGGATCCCTAAGTAAATAAGTTTTAAAAAATTAGTCAAGCATGGGGCTGGAGATTTAGTTCATTGGCTGAAGCGCTTGGCCTGGTAAGCTCAAGTTCTTCAGTTTGATCTCTGATACCAAAAAAAAAAAAAAGAAAAGAAAAGAAAAGAAAAGAAAATTAGCCAGACATTTGGGACAAGATTGATGATGATTACTTCCTCACCTACCTGTGACCAGTCTAGAAAATTTTAATCCTTTGGAATTAAAAAGAAACAAAAACAAAACAAACACCAAAGAACAAGTCTGTATGAGTGATTTGTTAGTTTCTTCCCAGGTCTGTCTTTTTTTTTTTTCCTATTGACTTTTCTAGTTTTTCAAATTCATGTAGTTTCAATTCCCAGAACCACAATCACTTAATGTCCTATAACTGTTTAGGTTTCATTTCTTCTGTTAAAAAATTATAGAATCATATAAATCTATAACAAGTGACATATAATTAAATATAGTACTCCGTAGAAAGTGATAAATAATAAGTACTACTAGTTATGTCTGAATATTTAATCATTATAAGAACCAAATCTGTGATCATGTTTCCTTTTTTATATTACCATTAAAGTTCCTTTTTAGTAGCATATTTGTAACCAACACTCACAAATACATTTTAAAGAGACATGAGGAGGTTTATCACAGATACAGACATAGGATGTACACAGGAGTAGAGTGTGGGTGCTCAGAGAAATGAGATACAATGTAGTTCGGAACTAAGGATCTTTTGCGTGTTTGACATGGTGGCAACTTAATTTAATAATAATCTATAATCTTAGTCTTATCCAGTAGGTAAGAGGAAATGACCCACCCATAGAGAGAGAATGATCTGTTTTTATGGGAAATTCCAAAAGGGTAGTCTGTTTATGGGTAAAAGAGGATCATTTGGAGGTAGAAACGGAATGAGCAATTCCTTTGTAGCTGAAAGGGGGTTGCCAAGGCTGAAGCTGCAGTTTTTCTTAAAAGTACAAATTTTAAAATTTATTTGTTTTTTTGAGCCAGGATCTTGCTGTATAATTTAGGGTAGTCTTAAACTCACTATGTAGCCCAGGTTGCCCTCAAAGTCTCCTGCCTCAGCCTCCTGACATGCGCCACCACGCCTGGTCAAAAGTACAATTTAAAAAAGCTCAGTTTTTCTTGTTTCCTTTTTATTTAGTTTTATTTTATCTTAACTCACTACCTGCCCGCCCTTTTAATTCCTTATGCTTAAAGAGAACCCAGTTACTGTCTTCAGTAACTATTTCATGCTGAGGAAGGAACATTGATCCTACCTAGGCAGGGGCCTAAAGTTTCATCTTGAGTGTTCTAAAGGAGACATAAAAATTGGGTTCCATTTTTTTTGAAGAACCATCATCTTTTGATTGCCTGAATTAGAGGCTGAAGATGTATAAGACAATTGCTCATAACAGCAATCATACAACAGAAAAGAATGTTCTCAACAAAGTGCACAGTACCATAACCAGAAAAATGAGGACCTTCTCCCACCAGATTGTTACAGGGAACCAGGATGTCAGCCAGTTGTTAAAGCTTGTGGCACAGTCTGATCTTAAAATGGTTTGTGAGCATAGATCATATAATACAGAGGACACATTTGCAGAGTTGTCAGCAATGAACACACAACATTTTGTTTTGGTAATGGCACAGGTTTCATTTTGTGCTGCCATTAGAACATCTAGGGCAGTGGTGGTGAGCCTCTTGTTGCTGGGGAAGTCCTTTTCTAAAAGTGACTTGCCAAATAGATGTTACTTGGATCTTCTTCTGGTGTTGGATTCCAGGTTCTTCTGTCTCGAACAAAGAACTGAATAAAATGAGTAAAAGAATGGTGACAGTTTATTTGAAAAAGTGAAAGCAAAGAGTAAGGGAAAAACTGGCTCTGCAGAGTGAGGTGGGATTGAGTAAAAGAGCACAAAGCAAGATGGAAGTATACCTGAGGGGACACAGGCTGGGTGGATGTGCAGGAAGCCATGATACCGATAGTGAGCTCTTCATAGTATCTGTGTCCTTTTATGCCATCCCATCTGGAGGAAACTCAGATTTCTACAAACTTCTGAGTTTAGATCCTGAGAGACTGCTGGGATCCCATGCCTTAGGCTGCTACCAGGTTCAGCCTGCATGAGTTCTCATGAGAAGTCCTTGTGCAAGGCTTTGGGAACTGTTCTGCCTATGTGTTTCAGCATCTTGTAATTCACAGATCATGCCTGTTTCCCCAGCCAGCTTGCCACACCCTAATTGCCTGTCTCACCATGGCACATGTGTTGTTTGTTTTTCTTTTAAGACAAAAGATATATGAGTTGTTTATTCTAAACTAAAACTTCCGTATTCAGGTTTAACTGCAGTGTTGGCACTTTGTGATAAATAAATGGGTTTTGATTGCAGTTTGGGTACTTGTCTCTAAAAGGTTTCACTGATCTAGAGCCATTTGGTTTTGTAAAGTGGCTTTTCTCATGATTTTTGCTTCTGAATTTAATAATGAAATACCTTCTTTGTGTGTAGTTAGAGATTCAGTGTGCTGTTTGGGGAATAAAGATAGCAGCCAGATAATCGTACTAGCGGAAAAATGATCTGTTCCATTGATATCTCAAGATAGGGAAGCTGGCTGGTTAATTTGTGGTTAATCTATGATTTTAACTTAGTGCCCTTGTGAACCCATAGATGACCTAATGTACATTTTCCTATCCACCCTGGAGGCAACCAAGACTGAAGGGTGTATAGAGCCACTTGGTACCATTCACAGTCTTAGCCTAGCTTTTGCCCTCCACTTAGTAGCTAACAAGTTAGTATCTCTTAGCACAAGTTAAATATGTCTTTGGGTGGAATTGATTTACCTATCACAAGTATTAGTGTTTGTTCCTAACAAAGTCAGTGCTAATTGGCGGAATTGCCCTCTTCTATTTAGCCAAGCTTTTGACTTATTATTGGTCTTTATAATTTTGATTATACTTTCCCTTTGGATATTTAAGACTAAGTCAAAATGAGATCTGTGTTAATCAAAATTAATCTTGTTCTGTTATGTATATATCAAGTTCATTTTAGTTTTCTCAGGCATTATTTTTGGGGCCATAGGCAGAACCTTTTAGCTCTTTCAGTTTTTGTTCTACTAGTTGTATCTGTCTTTGATAGACCACGTGGCTTCCCTCTTTAGTGACCTTCCTTTTTTTTTTTGTTCAAATCCATTTTATTCAAACATAGAAAAAACTATAATAAAGTTTCAGCGCACATCAATTGGGGTAACAGTGGTACATACATTGCGCATTATCATCCTCAAATCATTCACCCAGAGCACATGACAGCTGCCTTCAGTTGTCCAAATAATACCAGTACAAATCTTTCTCTTCAGCAAACTCAGAGAAATCAGTACTCTATCTTAACTACTTTTTTATATACATTTACATAAACATATACATAGTTTTTTCTTTTGGCTTGTCACCCTAATGAAACAATATGATTTTTACCCATGTGTCTTATTTATTTCACTAATGAGTATGTTCCATAAACCTACAAAAAGGTCCAGTTTATCATTCTTTGTGGCTGAGTAGTACTTTATTGCATAAAAATAACACATTTTTTAAAATTCATCCCTCAGTTGATGGGCGTTTAGGTTGTTTCCAAGATGTGGCTGTTATAAATTGTGCTGCTATAAACATGAAAGTGACCCTCCTTTTAGCACAATGTACACTGGTTGATTCCTGTTTTCTGGGGTCCATCAGTCTCCCTGCTTGGGAGGTTGGATGACTCCTGAGAGTTGTAGGATTTTACTGAATATCTTTTGTCATTGTTGTTTTAGTTTTTAGCATAGGGATTAAATCCAGGGCCTCTGCATTGAGTTGCATCCCTGGCCCTTTTCTTATTTTGAAACAGGGACCCACTAAGTTACCACATTGCTCAATCTGCACTAGAATTTGTGATCCTTCTACCTCAGCCTCCCAGAGTGCTGGGGTTACAGGTGTCTGCCACCAGGCCTGATTATAATATCTTTTTGAAACTCTATCCTCCTAGTCTAATTTTGAGCTGTTATCTTCTCTTTGCCATCTTTTCAGTAATTTTCTTTCTGTGTGTCCTACATAGGACTTCATTTTTCTTACATTGATAGCATAGTAAGGGATAGAAGTAAAGCTTGAGAGCATTTTCCTTAGTGCTTTGATGGCACTAGTTAATGTGTTGTCATGAGGAAACCTAAAATATTATTGTTATTATTATTATTTTTTGAGACAAGGTCTCACTATGTAGTTCAGGGTAGCTTTGAATTTGCTTTGTAGTCCAGGCCGGCCTTGAATTTGTGGCAATCCTCTTGCCTCATCCTCCTAAGTGCTGAGATTACAGTTGTGTGCTAGCATGCTTGACTCCCAAAGATGCTGTGATTCCCAATTTTTAAAAGCATTTTCCTCCTTTTGATTCTTTTATGAACCTTACCCATATTCTGAAATTTCAACATACAATCCGTTGATACAGTATATTTTTAAATTGTGCTTTATAGTCATTGGGTCTTTCAGTCGAGGGATTGATGTCTTTTAGTCCTGGACATTTTCCTGTTTTGTGTGGTAATTTCTTTTGTATTTACTCTATTCTTTCTGGACTTTCGGTATAATGTTGGATGTTGGACCACATTGTTTGCTTCTCTATTGTTTTTTTCTGTTACCTGTGAACCTCATTCCTGCCCTAATAGTTTATCCTTTTTGTTTTAATAAGTTTCCTCAGTGTTACCTTTTTTTCCCTTTGCTTGTTAGTTTTGCTTTCAGTTTTGTTAGTCTTTTTTTTTTTTTGACTGTTCATTTGACATTGTATTTATTTCCAGATTTTCCCCCTCTTTCACTGCAGGTTGATCAAGTAGCTGTAGCTGGCTTGATTTCTTCATGATGGACTTGCAGTTGTTACTTTATGGATACTTTCTAATTTTGTTCAGAGAAGAATTTTCAAATTTGCTTTAAGAATGTGTGTGACCTGGAGGTTCAATTTTTGCTTAGTTTTAAAATTATTCTTGTTGAATTATTCTTGTCCCCCTTATGATTGTACCTAGAGCTTAGTGCATGCTAATCAAATGTTCTACCACTGACCTACACCCCTAACTGTTTTTAATTTTTGAGACAGGGTGTTGCTTAATTGCTTAGATTTGCCCCCAATTTGGCAATCTTTCTACTTTAGCCTCTTGAGTACCTGGATTATAGGCATGTGTCACCATGCCATCACATACCTCCTTTATTGAACGTGTTTTTTTTTTTCCTTTTGCAATACTGGGGATTGAACCTAGGGCCTTTGTATGGAGCTGTATATCTGGCCCTTTTCTTAGTCTGAGATAGTGTCTTAATATTGCTAAATTGGCTACGCTGATCCTGAATTTTTGATCTTTTTGCCTTAGCCTGCCAGAGTACTGGGTTGCAGGAATGTGCAGTTATATCCTAAATCCTCTGTATAAACTATGTGGAGAAGAATGTTTAAATTTATAAATTTTTGCTGGACATGATGGCACACATTTGTGATCCCAGCACTTGGGAGGCTGAGGCAGGAGGATTGTGAGTTTGAGGCTAGCTTGGGCTATATAAGCGAGTTCAGAGCCCAGCCTGTATTACATAGTGAGACCCTGCTTCAAGACCCCCTCCCATTTCACCAAATAAGTAAGATCCAAATCCCAGGAATCTGATTTCATGACTGAAACATTTATGTATTAAATTGAGAATAAGCGTCAAAATTGTAGGATTTTAGGCGACCCACTCGGAACCTCTTCTGTTTCTCTCTCAGACAGAAGCTTTCTTTCTCTCAGTAAGTACTCCTACTCTTAACCTCCATTGTTCCTAAAATTCATTCTTCAATTTTAGAGAACCCAAACTCCGACTGGACTTGCAGTAGGTTGGGAGTTTCATTCCCTATATCATTTGGAGGCCTCAATGAGATATTTGGATAGAGACTTAAAGCCCAAGGTGAAACTGCCTGCTGTCTAGAGAGGAAGGCCTTTAGATAGACCTTCTGTAAAATATCTCTGACTGCCAGTCAACAACTATGTCCCTTTTCAGCTGAATAAACCAGATTGGTCATCATCCATTTCTCCCTCACGTCTGGTAGGGATATTTCTTCAGACTGGGGAATGTAAGTTACAAGCAACTGAGCTAGTTAGAAATATTATAGGCAGTCACACAGGGGGCTAGGCCTTTGAAGAAGCCAGCACAGAGGACCGGATGTCTGATGACTTTGGAGGAGACACACATATCTTGCTGTAGGCCAGATCTCAAAACAGAAGGCAAAACAAATGCAACCACACCCTTAAGTATAATTCTTAGGTGGGATTAAGTCTGGATTAAGTGGGATTAAGACCTTGAGAAGTCACCATTCCAATCTCTAGGGAAGAGTCACTGATCTCTAAGAATGCCTACTTTCTGTGTGACTTACCTACCCATTTATTCCCATTGTAATCAATTTTACCTGAGCTATTAATCTTATTGGCTAAACATAGCTAGTTCCCAGCTTTTCCCAGTTTAGACCCGTCTCACTTTTACTCTATAAAACTCCCAGGAAAATACATACAGAATCTTTGTCAACCCACTGAGGACCCCTTCTGTTTCTCTCTCAGACAGAAGCTTTCTTTCTCTCAATAAATATTCCTACTCTTAAAAAAAAATTATAGGATTTCATTAAATGTCTCTTTAGTGTTCTTTTTTATAGTATATGTGGTAATATTTGATTTTTAAAGTTGATGTTTGATAATGCGTATATTTTGATGTTAGCTGAATAATATACTTAATGTAGATTTAAAATTCATGATTTTTGTTAACCTACAGTACAACTGCAAATAAGTATTTTTTTCTTTTGCAGTGCTGGCGATTGAATGCAAGGCTCAGCGATGAGCTGCACCCTAGTCTTCAAAAAATTTTTTTGAGACCACTTGTGATCCACTAAATTGTCTGGGCTGGGCTTGAAGTTGAAATCCTCCTGCCCAGTCTTCCAGAATGCTGTAATTATTGGCGTGTGCTGTCTATTTCAACTTTTAAAAATAACAATGAATTAGTAACTGTATAATTAATTTTTTATATGGCAGTTAATTTTCAAAGAGTTCAGTGCAGTATTTTGAAGATACAGTAATACAGTTTTATCTTTTTAAATTATTGTAGGTAGAAGAATACATGTGTACTTCCAGTGAGCAGGAGCATGTTTCCGAACTCAATGCTGGGTCGCCTGCCTTTCACTCCAAACCATCAACAGCGTAATAACTTCTTTGCCCTGTCACCAACTTTTTATTCACAGCAGCAGTTTGTAGATGCACAGTTCAACTTCCAGAATGTAGAGTAAGTATAGTCATTTTCTCTTTGACATAAAACATTTTTTGTATGAAATGTTTGATGATAGGGAAAATGTTACTGCTTCTCGTTTTCTTTTGATCTGAGAAATACTTAGTTTTTCTGAAGTTTGTTCTTAGGGAAAAAAATATATATATTACTACTATTCTTTGTTTTTGATAGCTTATCTAGAGCTGTGTCATTACAGCAACTAACGTATGGAAGTGTCAGTCCAATACAGACTTCAGCGTCCCCAATGTTTCGAGGAAGGAAGTAAGTAGTTTTCAGTTACTTTAAAAGGAGATTTTGGCGCTCTAAGAACTGTATATCAATTTACCTTGTGTAAAATTTTATGGATACTGTACCTTAGATTTTTATTCTGTAGGACGTGTGTATTAAAATGAGTAACAATTTAAAAATTGCTTTGCATTTGTAAAACTTTAGGGATTCTTCTACTGAGTTATTCCTGTTGTTATAAATTATAGTTGAAATGAAGCTGCATTTATTCAGATAGCTACTTTTAAATTGAGATTTTTAGCAAATGAGATCACCGTCTGTTTTTATTTGCTGTGGTTGCCATAACAGTGTACTACTATAGACGTACTAGGTGTCTGAAACAAAAGTGTTTTTTTTTTGTCACAATTCTGGATACAAGTCCAGATCCTGATGTCAGCAAGGTTGGTTTCTTTTGTAGCCTCTCTTCTTGGCTTATAGATGACCATGTTAAAAACTTTTTTTTTTTATTAGAGCATGTTTATAGTTGATGATAATGTTCATCATGAGTAGTTGGTAATGTATATAACACATCCTAATTCTTTTCACATCCCCTTTCTCTTCTGACCATTTTCTCACTGTGTCCTTATATATGCATATCTTTGTTTTTTGTCTCCTAATCTTTTTTTTTTCCTTTTTGTGGTACTGCAAATTGAACCCAGGGTCTTCTTACTGAATTGTATCTGCAGCCCTATTTAATTTCAAGACAGGGTCTTGACCAATTTTCCAAGATGGGCTTGAATTTTCTGTCCTCTTTTAGCCTGTTTGAGAATGCTGACAGTAGAGATATGTCCCATCATGCCTCCCTAATCTACTCTTTTGAGGATATCAGTTATCTTGGGGTAGGGCCTCTTTAAGGATCCCTTTTTAACTTAATTACCTCTGTACAGGCGTTATGTACAAAGGTAGTCATACTCTGAGATATTGAACCTTGAGATTTTGACCTTGTAAAGTTTATTCTGTACTTTGTTTTTTTCCCCTTTCTTACAGTGCTGTGCATTGAACATAGGCCTGCTTTCATTCTTGGCAAGCACTCTTTACTGAGCTAAATCTCAGTCCTAATTACTTTCTTGATTCTTTAATTTGAAAATTTCAAACTTGGAGAAACATTTAAATAGTGAATGAGCATATGTGTACCTTTTTTAGTGTAGTTTTGTCAAAGTTTTACTACATTTGTTTTCTTTTCCTTCCTTCCTTTTTTTCTTCTTTCTTTCTTAGAAAGGGACTCAATTTGTAGCCCAGGTCAGCCTCAAACTCTTGATCCTCCTGTCTCAGCCTTCCATTTGCTGAAATTACAAGTATATACTTCCATGCTGGGCTTTTTTCATTTGCTGCTTTTTCCCTGTTTTTCTTCTAATTTTTTTTCTGAATCATATGAAAGTTGTTATTTTACTTTACTCCAAAACATGTAGTTTTTCTCCCCTAAAAACAACAGTATTTCATATAACAAAATATATTGATTATGTGCAAGAAATTTATATTAGTATTACTATATCTAAAATAGTTCATTTTCCAGTATTTTCAATTGTCTAATTTTTTTAAAGCTTTTATTGTTTCTTAATTTGGTCTTTCCTACTGAACAGGCAGATACAAGTATGGTACAAAAAACCTTTATGGTATCTTATAAGGTTATCCCATCTTTTGTGGTTGTGTTGTAGTTTGGGGTATTATATGTAAGGACTCTCATGTGCTGGAACTTTTTTTCCCGCAAGTTTCACACACTAAATTTCTGAGGCTATCCTTACTTCTGCTATCTTCCTATCCCAAGTAGCTGGAATTAGGACAGGCATATGCCACCATATTGTTTCAACTTAGTCTTACTTTTCTTTTTTTTTAATTTTTGGTACTGGGGATCAAATTCAAGACCTAGCACTTGCCAGGAAGGCGCTTATGCTGCTGAGCGATATCCCTGGCTCCAGGCTTACCTTTCTTATTATAAGAGTTTAGATCTTTGGTTCTTAGTGATCCTGTACGTAGAACTTTATCCATAAAGTTTTCACTGGTATGATGAAACCTTGGAACTAATATATAGTTGTAGTTCAAGCCTGATATATACATGTAGTTTTATTTCTGTGTGCATTAATGTCTTAATTACTTTTCTTTTGTTGCTGAGACAAAATACCCACCCCCTAAAGTAAAAGGGGAAAGGTTATTTAGCTCATAGTTTGTAGAGGTTTTAGTCCATAATAGGCTGACTCCAAGGCAGGGTGGTTCATGGCGGATGGGCAATAGTTCATAGTGGTAGAAGACAGCAAAAGTAGTAAGAACAAAAAAGAGACAAATCTTTTTTTGTCCTCCTAGTATATCCAGTCTACCAGGTTTAGGGTGGTGCCATTCCAGTGAATGATCCAGTTTTAGATGAGCATTTCTGGAGGTGTCTGAATTTAGAGTATATGATTGATTCGCAGTACAATTACTGCTCTTTTTTTTTTTTTTTGTCTTTTTCATTTTTATCGGTATCGGGGATCGAACTCACGACCGCCTGCTTGCAAGGCAGGTGCTTATGCCGCTGAATTACTGCTCATTTTTAAAAGGTTTTGAAAGACATACCTTGGGCTTGGAATGTAACTCAGTGGCTTCAAGTGTGTGCCCGGCAAGCACAGGTCCTGAGTTCGATTTCTGGTAACATTTAAAAAGAAAGAAAAAGACAGTTCTTGTGTTGAAATGAGTATTTTAAATCTCTATATGTGCTAATAATGTGGTCTTACTGAAAGTTACAATATTGTTGTTAACAGGATGTTTATGTATTTTTAATTAATTTTTATTTACATAAAGTTGTGTCTCGTTAATCACTGAGGTCTGTTGCTTGTTTTCAGGAGATTAAGTGATGAAAAAAACCTGCCTCTTGATGGTAAACGGCAACGATTCCATTCACCCCACCAAGAGCCAACTGTAGTTAACCAGATAGTGCCTTTATCAGGTGAACGAAGATACTCTATGCCACCATTGTTTCATACACCCTATGTACCAGAGATAGTCAGATATGTTCCTCCTTTTCGAGAAATACCATTTTTAGAACCTAGAGAAATCACACTGCCAGAAGCCAAAGATAAGGTAATAATAATGCAGATTTTACTTTTGCTTTTTGGAAATTTAATATGAATAATGTATTAAAAGAAACTGTTCAGTGCTCTTCAACCCAATTTGCTGCCAAGTATTACTTTGAATTTTGTTAGTTATTTTATGCAGTTATAACTGACAAGGAATTAGGTTTTCCCTGAATTGTAAAAATTGTTATTAAAACTCAAAACATTTAGTGTCTTAGAGAATTTTCTTTTTAGTTGTCAGAAAATGAGATTTCCTGTGATTATAGTAATAGTCTTTTAAAGCATTTTCTTTTAGGATATTAGTGTTTATTGTAAAGTTTTTAAATCTCAAAAAGAATTCAGGAGTCTGAGAAAGAATTCAAACTGTTATGATTAAGAAGTGCTATGGTTAAATAGCTATTGAGAACTTTATTTTTAAAGCATTTTATGACTGGGGGGTTAGCTCAGTGATGTACATGGGCAAGGCTCTGGGTTCGATCCTCAGTATTGCAAGAAAATTACTAAGAAACAATAATTTTTGGGAAATATTACTGTTAGCATTGGGAACAGTGAATTATTTCAGCCAGTTGGAAAAGTATATGTTTCTTCTGTGCCGTATTTAGTGAAGGTTAAAAAAGCCTGTAGGCTAGGGAAGGATTTATAGTATAAACATCTGCATTCTTTTGGATTATATGGCTTACACTTGCTGCTTTTCCCTACTGGCGACAAGTAGGTTGCAAGTGTTTGTATTCCAAGGAGAAGGAGCCTACAGAGAGTGTTGGTTGTTTTCCTCATCCTTGGTTTACTAGCAGGCAGCGTAAATCTGGAACATAGTAAAGGTACTGGAGTAAGGCAACACCTTGCTTCATTCCTTAGTTGTGTTGCTGTTTTATTCCTGTCATTCTTCTGTTCTTTAGCTGAGTGATTATGCCTTAACATCATTGTTTTCAAGTGTATAATTTAGCACATTTTGATGTGTTCACAGAATTGTGCTACTCTTAGCATCATTTGATTACAAAATAATTTCATTACCCCCAAAAGAAACTTTTTACCTAATAACAATCAGCTCCCCACTTCTTCCTCCCCCTGTTCTGGCAATAGTTAATCTGTTTTGTTTGTCTGTGGAATTGCCTATTCTGAATTTTTCACATGAGTAGAATAAGTCATATAACACATGGCCATTTGTGTCTTACTTATGTTTTCAGGTTTATCTGTGTCATAGCATCTATTAGTACTGTATTCCTTTTTAAGGTTGAGTGATACTCCAGTGTGTGGATATACCATATTTTGTCAACATGGTCCTCAGCTGATGGATGTTTAGGTTGTTTTTACTTGACAAATATGACTAATGCTGTTTTGACTATCTGGGTATGAACTTCTGCATGGATATATGTTTTCATTTCTCTTGGGCATATTCCTAGGAAGAATGAACCTGCTGGGTCATATAACTGTTTAATTTTTCTTCTTCTTTTTTTTTTTTTTTTCCTTCTTTCTTTGGCGTAGTGCTAGAAATTGAACCCAGAGGTTTTGGGTACATTAGACCTATGCTCTACTGCTGAACTAATCCCTAGTCCCTATGTTAACTTTTTGAAGAGCTGTCAAAGTTTTTTCTAACATAGCCACATCATTTACAGTGTGTTTTCGTTGGTGGTATGTGAGTGTTCTTCTTTGCCAACACTTGTGACACTTGGGATTGTGTCTTTATTTTTATTTTTTTATTTTAAAGGAGTGCTATAAGTAGTAGGAGTGCTACTAAGTGTGTTAGGCAAATACTGCTTCTCAGCCACCTGTCAGGTCCTGTAGTCATTCACTTGATGCAGTTCAGTTCATCTGTTTTTCTTTGGTTGCTTATGCTGTTTGTGTCAGATCTAAGAAACCATTACTCAATCTGAAGTCATGAAGATTAATGCTTATATGTTCTGAGATTTTTATAGTTTCAGTGCTCACACTTAGAACTGTGCCACATTTTCATTTAAGTTTTGTATGCAGTGTGAAGTTGGGTGGGTGGGGGTCTAGCTATATTTTTGTGCTGTTGGTCTCGTCCTGGTACAATTTATTGAAAAGTCTGTTCTTTCCTTTCCTACAATTTTTTTCTTTATCACAGAGTAGGAATAAGCAGGCAAAACTAGTGGGAGAGAGAAAAACGAAAGTGAGAAAAGACAAACTTGGGATGTTTTGATACTATTTCCTCTTCCCTCTTTGCTTATTTTTCTGCTATCTTTACTTTCTCATTTAAAAGAATCTCCTAGTGGTGCTATCAATGCAAAAACTTGTAGTGGAAGACAAATCACATAAATTCTTTGAATATAATAAAAATGTACTATAATAGGTTTTTTAATATGTATGCTAGTAGAATTTTTTGGTAGAACTTACTGTCCATAGACAGAGTTTTGTATCTCTCTATATTTTTGTATGTATTATAATTCATATTTCCCTGTCATCTTGTAACATATAATTCTATATCAGTGATGTTTTCTTTGCCTAGCATATAGAAAATTGTTCTCCTAAGTCTAATGTTTTTGGTATTAGGCATTTTTTGCAGAGGGATACATACAGATTTTGCAATTGAACCAATTTTTTTGAGTGCTGCTTTTTCCCTGCTGGTTGTCTAAGAAGGCAAACAGTTCTTTGTTTATTCTTGATGTCAGCTTTTATTTTTTGCAATACTGGGGATTGAACTTGGAGTTCTGTATGGCTGAGCTACATCCTAGTTGTTTTTATTTTGAGACAGGATCGCCCTCAGTTCCAAGGTGGGGCTTGAGTTTGTGTTCCTGCCCACAGTCTTTTGACAACAGGGATTGTAGGCTTGCACCACTATGCTGGCTTACGTGAACGTGTCTGAAGAGATGTTTTCTGTAGGCATTTTATTCATGCCATATTACTTAGTTTCTTCAGCAACCTCAACCAATAATGTAGACCCCCTGACATAGCCTAATTTTTTTGAGACTCATAAAGCTAAAATAATACTTACTCAAGATCATAGCTAATAATTGGGAAAAACAAGATTTGACCTTTGTCTCCAAAGAGACAAAGAGGAGCAACTTAAAATGCTTAAAATCAGGGACAAGGAGATGACATTCTTAGACCTGACTGTAATACCAAGTGACGTGTCACATTGCTTTAGCTAATACAGCTGTGTGTCTTTATTTTACCATTAGTGGGCCCAGCTTCATATGGTTTGCCTCTCACTACCTCGGTAGAGTGGCTGAAATGAATAAGGGTTCATTGTGAACTACAAGTAGGGCAATTGTTCGGTGTCTTGATCTAGAATGCCTTTAGAGTTTTTTGAATACAGGAAATTATAGATTTGTATAGTTCTACATTAGGGTGGAGTATGACTTAGAATAAGAAGTGTCTGGATGATGAGTGATCATCTTGAAGGCTATATGAATGCATCTAGAGGTACTAAAGCTTTTAGTGATGTCAGATGGTAGTGAGAGTGATAGGAGAGATAGCGCTTAAGGAAAATTAATGGAACATGTGAGCAATGGACTATTAGGAGGAAGAAGAGAGAGAAACCTGAGTGACTCTAGTGATTTGCTTCTAGACTACCAACAGATAAGGGACCAAGTTTTTGGATGTATATGTTAATTGAAAACATAGTTAAGATATAGCTGAACCAGTGGAAAAATCTGCTCTAAAATTTGCAGGGATTTTTTTGGGTCTCTGTTGTTTGTTTCATTTTGTTTTTTGAGACAGGATCTTGTTATGTAGTTCAGTCTGGCCTTGAATTTTCTTTATAGCCCTGGGTGGCCTTGAACTCATTGTAATCCTCCTACCTTAGCCTCCAGAGTGCTGGGGTTTCAGGCATGCACTGCCATGCCCGGCTATTTATGTTTTTGAGAAACCTTATGTTTTACAAATTACATATTAAGCATATAGAGCTTGTGGGGAATCGTGCTGGAGCAAACCAGAACACTGTAGGGAAAAATAATTGATATCTGAGGAAATAACTTGGACAGATCAGGCAGGCAGTTTACTGTGGCTGGATGCTGCTTCAAGGGATTCTAGAAATAAACAAAGTAGAATTGAGATGCTGGCTTCTGGTGGCATTAAGGCTTAAGACAGAAAACAGAGCTTTGAGTCAGTGTAGCTATAGCTAATGTAGAGATGAAGGGAAGTACACTGGCACTGAGCTATGTAAGGCAAGGAGTATGCTTTCCTAAGCAGTAATCTTGGATACAAATACTTTTAATTGTTTTAGTTCTGTATCCTGCCTGTGCTGAGGTCTTATTTCCTTTATTGCCAAGGTTAAAATTCTACCATTTCTCCTCCATGCACAAATTACCCACAAATCCAAATTTCCATGTCACATTGATACCATCCCTGTATTTTCTGGTCATGTGTCATCTTATTAGTATTGCAGAAAAATATTTTGTAAATAGTAGGAGTTTACAAGGTCAAGAACAAAGTTATGAGTCTCAGATACATCTACATTAATCATGACAGTTGAAACTCCTGGAGTACTTTTTGGTTTTATTTTATTATTCAGTGTGGATATTTATGAGTGCTGGACATAGATGATGCAATTTTGTCATAGATGTACATGATATCTTTAATATTTACATATAGATTAGTGAAAAGGAAAGCCGTTAAAAAGAATCATGTAAATATGCTATGAAGCAAAGTTATAGAATACTGAGAAAATGTATCTGGATTCCTGGGAGAAGCCTCCTAGAAGAGCAGTATTTAAGCTGTGATCTGAAAGATGAGTTTGGCGTTTACTAGTTAGTGATGGGGTAGAGCGACGTGCTGTGAAGGAAGGAAATGCCATGTTTTCAGGTCCTAATCCATGAAGAACTGAAAGCAGCCTGGAGTGAGCTAGTTTGGTAAGTTAGAGACAGTGGTTAATGGTGTGATAGAAGTAGGGAGATAGAGCATGTCAGGACTTTTGGGCTGCTGTATTCTTCAGTCTAAAAACAGCAATAAACTATTCAGTGTTTGCTGTTATTGTTATAGGCAAGAAAGAGACATGAGTTAAAATTTATTTTGCAGTGTAGAGAGCACATTAATTTTGAGCAAACAAGA